AAAAATATAAAAAACTAGATATAATACTTTATTAACTTTATATTCAGATAAAATCCTTTTTGAAATAAAATTTATAATATTAGATTTAATAATTGTAAGGTAGCAACTTTTATAATACCTATTTTAGAGAGTTAAATACTCAATTAGAATTAATAGATCTGCAGTTAGATCCTATTTATGGAATAAATAAGAACTGCAGATATTGTTGGCTGAATAGCAATTATCTTTAAATAAATCTTATTATTTCTTTTTTATAATAATTATATTACAAATCCAATTAAACAGCTATAGAAGAAAAGCTTTAATAAATATATATTTTTTTAAATTTTCAAATACTTTTTAATAAGTAGAAAACTTATTAAATAAAAAATATTTTTTATTAGATATATAATTATATTACAGTATAATCTTAGTAATTTTAATAATTCTATTAATTCTATTAACCTTAGTAATCCTACTAACCTGTGTTTTTATATAATTATTTAATGATATAATTCTAAATCTGCTTAAAATTCTATGTACTTTTAATTATATTTATAATTTTTTAAACTATATTAAATTTATAAATTTAAAAACAATCTAATTTGAATGGCTAATTAAGATTAACAACTAAATAATAACAATATTTTTAGCTAGTTTTATTATTTTTACTATCTAACCAGCTAATATCTATAAACGAGCTTATATTTCAAAACTATATATTTTTTTAGAAAAATAGTAGGCTAATAAAATACCAGTAATCTTATAGCTTTTAGTAATACTAAATATCTTCAAAATATTTATCTAGTATATTAGTAAGTATTGCAGTAAATAGTTTAATTATTATAATTAAATTTATATATACAGTATAAAAGTTTAAACCAGTCAAAAATAAAAAATCTTTTTATCTACTATTTTAACGAAGTCTAATAAAAAAAGATTAGAATAATTTAATAACTTATTAAAATAACTACTACCTGGAAGATTATCTTTAAAAAATTAAGCTTTAAATAAATATATCAAATTATTAAAATTATTACTTTAGTAGTAAATATTATAATATAAATTTTAATATTTATTTTTATTACTAAAAATACTGCAGCTGCTTTCATAGAAATAATTGTTTTAATTAATTTTAAACTTTTTATTTCTACTTTTTTTTAAATACCTATCTAAGTTTAATAATTTTAAAGGTAACTATTCTAATTTTGAATACTTTACTAACTAGATTTAAAAATGAATAAAAATTAATACTAACTGTTATACTATTTTAGTTTTTTATAAAATCTATATTATTAGCTGTTTTTTTTACGAAAGACTATACAGCTAAGTATAATTATATAATAAAAATAAAAAATATACCTTTCTAGTTATTTTCATATTATTATTTTTTTAGAATATTTTTTAGGGATTTTAATAGAAGTATATTATATAAAATAAACTGTTTTATTTATACTAGAGAAAGTATAATTTGTATCCTTATTTTACTAAATTTTAAAAACTTATTTCAAAAGCTAAAATACATGTTAATATATTTTATCTACTATTAAAATAAAAGATTAGTTACAGCCTTAAATTATTACTTATAAATAATATTTTTAAAAATATTTAATTTTTATTTATTTTTTATAGAATTTGAAAAATGCTGTACTTAGTACTGTAATAAAAAAAGATTTAGAGCTAGCAAAAAAACCTTATTATTATAATGTTATATATTAAAAAAAACTAGTACAAATTTTAAAATAATAATTACTAGAAATAATTTACTATATTTAAATATAATTTTATAAATTTGCTTTTTGTATATTAGTAGTCTTTATATTTACAGATCTTCTGCTGTAATAATAATAAAGATTTTTATTATAAATCAAACAATTATCATATTAAGAATTATTTTAAACTTAATATCAAGATTTTATTTATAATATTTATGTCATTATTATTTTCTATATCTTATATTTATCTACTACCCAGATACTATTTTCTTTTTCTATTAAGTAATTAAAATTATATCTAATGATTTAATTTATTTTTTAAGCTTTATAAATATTACAGTTCTATTACTAGTTTTCATTAAAATATCTTTTTAATTAACAAATAGTTAAAAAAGTTAAGTTTATTTCAAGCTGTTGCTATACTAAAACCCTAGTATAATTATATACTATTTCTAAACCTATAATTAAAAAACGTTTTATTAAAAGATTTTAAAAAACTAATTTAATAGTTATTTCTATTAGTTTAAGCCCTTAGATTGTAAAGATCTAAATATATACTATATCTAAGAGTAAATTCTCAATTATGAATAATAAATAAAAGTTATACTAATATTTATTACCTAATACTCTATTTTTTAAACGTTTATGAAATTATAATAAACTTTAACAGCTAATAAAGAAAGTTAAGCTGTATTATCTAGTATATCTGTATAATTCTAAAAGTATATAATTATAAAGAAATTACTATTTTTAATTATTTAGCTTATATTTTATTTGATTATTATTAAACTTGTATAACTAAAAACTTATTATTTTAGAAAAAAAAATTAAATATTAATTTTAATGCACTAGTAAATATTACTAAAAATATCATAATATTTTATTTATACTCTTAAGGATTCATATTTTATATAATATATCTGTAAAGGCTTACTTTATAAGTATTATACTATTTAAATCTTTGGATTAAATAATATTTAGATTATTTTTTTAATAGTTTATACTATATATATCTGCTGAGATTATTTTTTGTATAAAAAGACTCTATAAGCCCTTCTAATCTTTATAATATTAATTACAAAAAAATATTTGTAAAAAAGGATCTAAAATATTAGTTATATAACAGCTGAATAAAGTAGTTATAAAACTACCTAAAACAGCAGCAGTTCTATAAAATTAAATAGATTAGTAATAATACTTTAAAATATAATATTACTATTTTAGCTACTATACAGAATATTTATTTATTATATTATTATACTTTTTTTACTTTTTATTTATTTTATTATTTAATTCCTATAAAATAATCATTTCAATCCTATAAAACAATCTAGTAAATAATAGCTGGATATAAAATATAAAGCTAAATTAAAAGTAATCCTTTAGATATAATTAAAAAAAGATATATATTAACTATAGAAAAAAACTCTTATATAAAAGAAAATCCAGGTTTCTATTTAACAACTTTATAAACATTTATATTTACTAAATATATTATAAAACTTAAAACGATTTTTAAAATCAGCTTTATAAAAAAGTATTTATAAGTAGAGTTAAAAAACTTTAACTTTAGTATTATAAGAATAAAAAAAACTAATATATATACTAATTTATTTATAAATAAAAAATAATATAGGACTTATAACTATACTATCTACTATATATTTATAATTTATTGAACGTTAATTATAAAAATTAATTAGTAAAATAAATACTAAAAAATATATATTATAATAGCCTATTTAAACTATATTTTAAATAATATATAAAAAGTTAAAAGAGCTAAATCTTATTATAAAAAAATAAAGTAGTTTTTATAAATTTTTTAAATACAGTTAGGGACCGTTATAAATAAATAATAGAAATTTAATCAAAATTTTAATACTAAGCTATATAAAGGGAAATCTATATTTATATATTTATAATAGTTAAAAAAAACTAAGCTAAACTATAAAATATAAAATATTAATACTATATAGCTATATTTATTTTTTATACTTTAGAAAACGATTTATAAACAGTTAAATATTTATAAAAAAAATAAGATTTTATTACTCTACTTAGAAGATTACAGCTAATACTAAATTAGTAGTATAAAAAAATAGAAAAGAAATATTTTATAAAATAATCACTAGAACAAATTACAGAGCCACAGCTTTTATAAAAAGAATTTAAAAATCTAAAGATTAGATAACTATTTATATAAACAGAATTTTGAAACTAAAATATTTTTTTAATACTATAAGCACCTGCAAAGGACCAAGATTAAAAGTTTATTTTAAATATAAAAAAAATAAACTACTTATTAAAAAACTATTATTTATTTAAACTAGCTGTAAACCTACTAGTAGGTAGAATTATAATACTTATTTAAAATTAAATTAAAATTAAAATTTATTTTAATTTAAAATAGGTACTATAATTTCCTATAAAAAGAAATATCTTACAGAAATAAAAATTATTATAAATAATAGTATAAAATAAATTTTATATTTATATTATAGTATTTATCAAATAAATAAATTAATTAACTATTTTATTAAAAATATATATAAAAGGGTTTAGGCAAAAAGGCCTATAATTAAAAAAACAATAATATTTATAATATATTTAAAAAATATTTAGAGGTACTATAAGAAATATATAAATCTAATAATTATAATACTAAAAATAAACAAAATTATTTTAAAGATATTTTAAATAAAATGGTAAAAATCTATTAGAAGATTTAATAAATATAAACTCTGTTTTATAAATATTATATACTATAAATACTATATGTTATAGTAAAAAGTTATATCAAAAGAGTTTATAAAAATAAAATTTAATTTAATAATAATATAAAAAGTTTACATGTCTACTAATAAAAAGATACTAATATAGTACTATAAATATAATATAATGTTTATAAAAATAAATGCTGTAAGCTTACTAGTATAAAAATTAAAAATTAATCTAAAAATAAATTTTTATAAAAACTTTCAGCTAAAGTTGGAATAGGTGTATAAAATATTAGTTATAAAAAAGTTATATACAACTATTTATAAAGGATACTTATGAAAAGATAGATATAGTATTTTAAATTATTAGTAGATATGTTCATTTTTTTATAAAAGAAATAATTTATAAATATAAACTATTCTAAAATAAAATAAGGAGACAGTAAAAGATACGTATCTACTATTATAAATTAATAAATATATTAATTAACCTATAGAGGCCCTATAGTTTATATAGTTAAACTTATATAAAATCTACTATAAAGTAAGAATTATAGAAAAGTATAAATAAAAAACAGTACTTTAAATAAAGTATAAATTACCTAATTATCTAGTTCTACTATTTAGGCTAATTACTATATTTATAAACTTTAAAGACTTTATAAACTTTTTATTTATAAAATATTTAAATAACTTTCTAATTATTTATCTAAATGATATTATGATATATTTATAAAATTTAAAAATATATAAAATATAGCTTTATGAAGTATTAAAAATACTATAAAATATAGAATTATATATAAACTTTAGTAAACACTATTTTATAGTAATAAAAACTAAAATTTTAAAATTCTTAATTAGCTGTAAAAGTATTTCTATAAATTTAAAATATATTATACCTATCTATAAGTAGTCGTAACTATAAAATATAAAATATATTTTAGAATATATATATTCTATAAACTAATATAGATACTTTATAAAATAGTATAAATTATAGTACTAAGTATAGATCTTACTAAAATATTTTATAAAAAAATGAAGAATTAGATATAGTTTTCCAGTACTCTAAGCCCACAAGGGTTTTTAAAGGAGAAATAATATATTTATACAAAGATATAATTATAGTATACTTTAAAAAGAAATTTGAGAAATTAAAATAAATACCTCAGCTTTTATAATTAGCAGAATATTATTATAAAAATACTGAAAAAACTAATAAAAGCTAATAGTATTTTACTTATAAAAAATACTTCCTACAGAGCAGAATTATAATATTTATAATTAAAAACTTTTTATAATTATAAAATATTTAAAAAGTAAAGATACTGGCTAAAAAATATAAAATATTTAATAAAAATAATAATAAATTATCAAAGCCTGTAATATCTTATAATAAATTAAAAATATTTATAAGGATAGACTAGATAAGTATAATATATTATAGCTTTTAAAATCTTTTTAAAATATAGACTAGGATTATAAAACTTAGTAGATATATTATTATAAAAGTTTAACTTTAAAAAATAGAGTATAAAAAAGGATTATAAAAAGCTAAAGGAAATAGCCCTAGAGTAGTTAAATAACTTGCTAAATTAAAAAAATGAAAAGAAATTTATCTACAATATTATAAAGAGTCTATAAAAAATATACTTGTATATAATAAAGATCTAATTAATGGTTTCTATAAAAATTAGAGTTTTTTTTAGTAAAGGATACTGTAAAAAATACTAAATCAATATCTCTACGAATATAAAAAAACTATATAAAAAATATTTATAATCAAATGTTAGCTAAAAACCACTCTACTTTATAAAAAAGGTATACATTTTAAAAAACTACTAGTTAAAATTAAAAGGTTTTTCAAAACTATATAATAATGCTATTAGAAAGTATTTTATAGAATTGAAAACTTAGAGACTTGCTTTATAAAGGTTTTAATAGTTTAAACTAGCTAAGTTTATCTAAAACTACTTATAAAGTATATTAAAGTAGAAAGATAATTTATAAAAAGTAGTAAAAACAATTGAAACTACTACTATTAGCTGGAAAACTTTCGAAAAAATAATTATAAATTTATTTATAAATTTATTTATAAATATTTAATAAAATATAAACTTATAAAAAAAATTTATAATATTATAATTATAATAAACTAGCTTAGTAAACTAGCTTACTTTATTTCTATTTATAAAATACTATTGAAAAAAAACCTATAAAAATCTATTTTGGAGCATTTTTAGCTATATAGTATATTTATAAAAATAACTTTAAACTGTAAATTAGATTTTATAAAAGAGTTTCAATTAGACTTTATTTATATTTTTATAATTAAGTAAAATTTGAATAGAACCTACCATCTATAAACAGATAGCTAAGTAAAGAAATAAATAGTATATTAAAATAATATTTATATATAAATTTCAAATACAATAACTAAACAGAAATACTATTATTTATAAAACTTATTTATAATAACTTTTATAAGTATTAATTAAATATTTATTATCTTTTATAATAAATATATAGTATCTACAGATAATAGTACTAGACTTATAAATATTAAATATTTTTATGAAAAAAATTAAAATAATACTTTCCAAAAATTAGAAATATATATAAAGAAAATTATAAATCTTAAGCCGGCTTAAATATACTAAAATAATTTTTGTAATAACAGTTATAGAACTACTGTCTTTATAATAGACTAAAAAGTCTGATTCTTTATAAAAGACTTATTATAAAATGATTAAATAAAAGTTTATATCAGTACTACTATAGATTGTTTTATGTAATAAATAAATAAATAGATAAATTTATAAATCAAATATATATAGATCTACAAATTTATAATATTTTTTACATTTATTTATTCTATAAATATTATATAATAAAGAAATTTATAAAACTATTTTATATAAGAAATTAAAAGTCTGAATAGCTTTAAATACTATTTGAAAGTACTATTAGATTTAAAATATCATTAAAAAACTATAACGTCTTTAATTAAATTAATTAAATTAAAAGAATATCATAAAACAAATATTAATCAGCCGTAAATCTATACCATCTATATGTTTATACAAAATTCATATTATAAAAATATAAAAAACTTAACTAAAATCTTCAAAAAGCTAAAGATTAAATATATTTTATAAATGTTTTATATTTTTAAATTTTAATAGATTTATTATATTTTATATTTATAGTATATAGCAGCTAGAATATATAAAAATAAAGAATATTATTTTATTAAAGATTAATATTTATTATTTATATATAAATAGTTATTATACTACTGGCTAATTTGTTTACTAGTATAGTTATAAAATATCTTTTTAGAAAAATAAGAATAATATTTATATATTTAATTAAACAGCAGCTACTAGCCAGCTTTAATTATAAAAATATTTTATAAAGCTAGATCTAAATAGCTAGCTTTCTAAAATTTAACTATTTAATATATAATATAAACTATACAATAACTTTAAAAATCTAGATCTGTTTATAATCTAATAAAAGCTATAAATTTATTTAAAAAGAATCTAAAATTTTAGTAAGTACAGCTGTACGGTAGTCTAAAAAGTAATTATTATATATAATTTAATAGAAAGAGTATTTTATATTTTATTCTTAATCTATTTATAAGGTATAGACTAATTTTATTAAGCTTTAAATATATCTTTAAAAAATAAAAAAAGTTTAGAATTTATAAACAGAAGAAATAATAAAGGCTATAATAATATTTACTATAATAAATTATTAAATCTATTTTTTTAGATATATATAGCTATTTAAATAATAATAATAATAATAATAGAAATTATACTACTAGAAAGTATAATAGTAGTAGTTATAGTAGTAGTAGTAATAATAGTAAAAATAAAAATAAAAACTAATATAAATATAATTATAAATATAAATATAATTATAATTATAATTATGAAAAGTATAGTAAAGGTAGTAGTAGTAGTAAAAATAATAAAATCTCTTTTTAAAAAGAATAAGCTTATAGTATACGAAGAATTATTAGCTAAAATCTTAACCTATTTTACAAAAGGTTTATATAGTAAAAAGTAAAACTATAAAAGCTAATAAAAAGACATAATTAACTATAAATAAATTAATCTACTTTTTTTCTAAAAAAAAAACTAAAGTCTGTAACGTATACTAGATATTATTATTTAATATTATAGTAATAATAAAATTAAAATTAGCTAATATTTTAAAAAATAATATTAAGTTATAACAGCAGAACGTACTGTAAAAGTAAATATATATATATATATATATATATATAAAGAAAACCAGATATCTGGACAAAGATTTATTTGTGTAATAATAGATTTTTTTTTATAAGATTAGCTGTGCTAACCTTTTTTAAAAAATATTTCTAACATCTAATTAAATAGATTAAAAAGAATTAATATTATGCATTAACAAAATACCTTATAAAAATAACTAGTAGATAGTAGACTATATATTTTATAATCTAATAAATAAAACAGTTATAAATAAGGCCTGTATATTTTATTTTTTATAAAAAAATAAAACTATTTTTTACTATTTTAATTTTTATAAAATAAATCTATGAATCAGAGGTTTTTAACAGTACTATTATAAATAAATAAACTACTTTATATAAAAAAGTTATAAAAGCTTTATAAGCCCTTTTAATCTTTATAATATTAATTATAAAAATATATATATGTATAAAATAATCTAAGACACTAGCTATATAACAGCTAAATAAAATAGTTATAAAACTATTTAAAACAGTACTAGTTCTGTAAGTTTAAAAGAATGAGTAATATTTTTTAAAATATAATACTATTATTTTAGCTACTATAAAAAGGTTTATTTACTACACTATTTTATTCTTTTAACCCTTATAATATATTATTACTATAAATTAAATTTATAAAGTACTAAAAATACTATTAAATCAAATAAATCTATATTATTGAAAAAGTATAATAACTTTAAAAATATTTTTATTAAAAAAAACTAAGAAATTACCCTTATACTAAAAGTAGAATTATATTATTATTTTAAAGAAAGAAAAGTCTTCACTGTTTGTTTACCCTTTTATATAAAATATTTAAAATAAGTTATAAGCCCTAAGAAAGTGGCTTTTAAGAAACTTAAAGAAGATTTTACCTATTTTAACTTATTACTAGTTATCTTCTTGGTGTTATTTTTTAAACAATTTAAAAAGGCCTGTAATTCTATAATAACGATTGTATTTTAAATACAGTATCTTATAGGGACTGCTACCTAGGTATATTACTAATCCTATATAAAAAAAGCTTTCTATTTTATAAAAACCAAGTATAAATATTTAATAATAAATAAATTAAAGCTGATCTAATCTAACTAGCGTATAACAAGCCAGTCTTTGAATATCTAAAAAAGTTTATATATATAAACTTTTAATTTCAAAATAATACTAACCTAATATCTATTAATGGATAAATAAATAGATAAATTAATAGATAGATTAACAAATGAATCAATAAATAGAGAACTACTATACTTATTAACAGATATTATTATTTAAAAGGCTAAATAAAAAGGTTTTAAACTAGTATCTATTTTTAAATAAGTTTAGTAGAATATATTTACCTAAGTTAGAGTTATAATATAGTTGTAATTATTATAAATCATTTAATGGAAATAACATATTTAACTTTTTATAATCTAACTATTAATACAGCTGTAGTTGTAATTATA